TTTTATGGTAGCCACTGTTGCATTATTTGATTTATTTTATGTGTGTAGACTCACAATTGTAATTAACAATTATAGGCGAGTTAAAAAGACCCAAGCCCAACTGTTATTTGCAGTTTATAAAAATTATGTGGATTATTTTAAAGGCACAATCTTTGGTGCAAATTTGAATAAAGTAGCCTGAATGCCAGAGTTTAAGTCACCGAATGTAAACCTGCTACCAATCCTGTCTTTAATCAACAACTATATTTAAAGGAATAGTCCAACATGTTGGGAATGTGCTTTTCTTTGCCTAGAATTAAATGAGAAGATTGATATAATTTTCAGAAGGTAAAAAAACATCCATCCCTCCATCTTCCTCCGGGTCATGGAGGCAGCAGTATAAGCAGTCTGGCCTCCTCCCAGTGGTACATGCCTCCCTAGGAAGGCACCCAGGAGGCATCCAAAACAGATGCCCGAGCCTCCTCAGCTGGCTCCTCTCAATGTGGATGAAAAAAAACAAACAAAAAAATACTGCCTATGTTACGGGCCCCAAGTGCTGGGGTTGTGTAGCAGTAATTTGGTGCAGCCTGGAAAACACAATGCGACATCAGAACAGAACTCGCACGGTGCGGTGGCATTCACATCCAGACTGCATCTGCGTTTATTCAAACATTAACATTCAAACATTGTAACAGTGTACGAATAAAATGCATTTTTATCCCATATTTCCATAACTCAAGTTCTCAATACAATCACTTTAACACCTGAGTGACATATCTGAGCACCACTATGGTGGTGAATAAACAGTTGCTCCACTGTACCATGCATAGCTGTAATTAGTTACCAAATAACTAATGGACTGCACACTAAAAATACCACATCTTTGAACAAAAATACATTTACATTACTTCAAACTGAATATATAACTATCTCTCATACATTTACATTGACCTCGGTTGAAACATTCTTACTCCACTTAACTCCTAATAACAATATACAATGCATATTAGTGACAATCAAACTGAATAAGGTCCATAAAACCGGACTTTGGGAGATCTCGCGATATTCTAAATCACGCGAGACGTCCTACCCGCGGGAAACCGCCGCTTTACTTTGAGCCTTGACTGACTAAACCATTACCGACGAGCATGTAAATATACACCGAACAGTGCTATACTAACAAATTATTAAATACTAACATCATACTACTTTGTATGTGTAGTTTCACCGTCTACTGACCTGGAAAACACAATCAGAACAGAACTCTCACGGTGCGCTGGCATTCGCATGCAGACTGCAACTGGGGACGAGGACAGAAGGTCCCTCCCCAAAACCATTCTGGGTGCAACACCAAGCGCACAAAGGTTCCGCTTTACCCTTTTCTGTTCTCCAACCACCAAATCAAGGACAGCAGGCACAAAACATCATAATGTTCTAAAAATATAAATGTGGCACCCAAAATAAAATGTACATTAAATTGCCAATTATGAAATAATAAATTAACTGAAAACAGTGTGGTGACATATCTTTAGGTGCACCACACCTACTCCCAAATCTAAAGCTCACTAAGTACACACCATATCTAATTTGTAAAAGGCACACAAAAACTGAAGCATTAAAAACTGGACTATTTCTTGGCAGGGACCATTAAGAGGAGTTTGGAGTCTGGCTGTTTTCTGATAACCTGTCCTGGCTAGGTCATATCTGGAACATAATCCTCTGTAAAATGGCAAAATTATTTTTTAATAGTTCAGCTTTTGTACAAATTAAACAAGATATAACATGTTAATTTCCATTATTCTCCCTTTAATAAAGGACAATCTTAAACAGACTGTGCCTTTCACTAGTCGTACAAACTAAAACTATGAATATTTCCTAGAACCATTAAATGCTTATGAAGAATCTAGACTGATCGATTTAACACAGTCAGAAACTCATGTGTGTTCAGCTGTAGATCAGCTTTACCTCCTGCAAATCAACAGCTCCCACTGTTTGCAAAACTCCATTAAAAATAGCTTGCAGAAACAAACTGCTGTACTGACTAATGTAATGCATCATTTTAAATGAGAATATGATAATTTTTCCTACAAGGACTTCACTACACAGCTAATTAGAGTGCTTAATGGAAATATTTTAACTTTGCAAATAAAAAGCACCACATGGATCCAGAAAGTAATATACAAAATCATATATCATTCATTCCTACATTCAGTCTCTTACTGACATTGAGTTCTGTTGTGCTCACCAGGAATCATGGCAACATCTACTGTGTAAATTCTAATAAGTTTATGTAAAGAGCCCATGATGCTTTCCCTTGTTTTCTGACTTATCTACAATGTTACAACAGTGAATTATCTTCTTAGATGTGATCTAAAGCTAATAAAATGAAGTGTATGTATGTTCTGATATTTCTTTGCAGAAGCAACTTGGTTTATACAAGTCCTGCAAACTACGACTCATGAGACTGCACTGTGACCCGATTATGTTGAGAAAAATACAGGGCCTGAGGTTACTGCATCATCAATGCTGGATTCCCCCAGAGCACAGTACCTGTTTGTTTTGACTGCTTGAGGACAGTGTGTATGCAGCATGTGATGTGTTGCTGGTTAAGGAATGGACTGATGACCCATGATGTTATTATCGGTGCTATGCTACCTGTTGGAATTAATTTCACTACTTTGGGACTGTCTGTGGTCATGTGGGGGAAGATGCAGCGACCTCTGGTTGGGTTTACCAACCTTGAAGCAGGTTCTGGAAGGGAGAGGCAGAACAGCAGCGTGGAGCTGGGGATGAAGGCATGCAGGTGAATAGAGACTGGTCGGATAGGAACCAGTTGAACCAGAGGACCTGCTGTACAGGTAAGTGGATGGGGAAAGGGCATTGCTGGCATCTTCGGTAATCACAGTTGAGTAGACAAAGAAGAGGCAAGTGACAGTGTAGCTGGCAGGTTGGAGATAATGGCAAGTAATGCTGGACAGGATACCTCGCTGACATTGCTTGTGTCTTTGGTACTCACAGGTGGGGAATCAGGAAAAGAACAGGTGACAGCATAGCAGGAAGGTCGGAGACAACAGCTGTCAGGGGTGGCCGGTAAAGCTACCCACAATGTTAATGGCGGACTCAATTATAGGGCCAGGCGAGATAAAGTAAATAAAGCCTCTTTACTGCGCTCAATAAGAACATACACAGTGACAGTGTTAGGAATGCTCTGGTAGGGAGGTGAGCGAGTAAAAAATGACGGACCCAGGTAGCTGACTTCGGTGCAAGAAGTGCTCTATTTATTTACAGTGACAATAAATATGTGTACAACCAGGTGAAGGAATATGGAGCAGAACCGGGTGTTGAGTGGCAGTCATGGAAAACATACAGTTAGTGAGGGGATGATAAGGAGGAGGCTGGGCTGCGGATTCACTCCTGGACTGGTCATGGTGGTTGGTTGCTGAGGGGACAAAAAGTCAGAGAAACAGTTAATGGGAGACTGTGCATCGATCTGCGTGGTGGAGTGATGTGGAGTAGTGGAGGTCCGTGGTCCGGAGAAGCAATAGCGGCTGACACGGGGCACAAGGCAGGAACGAAGCTGGGATGAAGAGCGTGAGCAAATATATATATGTAACCCTCCCTGCGTAGCTAACAGGCTGAGAAGGGGGGGGTGTTTCCTAACTAGGTTCGATGAGGAGGCTGACTATCTATGAATTAGGTGGATGTACCATGCACCCCAGATTTCCCACCCCAACTAACACAGACCAGGGAAAAAAATATATAAACAAACTGGAAATTTAAGAGGTTGTGTATTGGATTAAATGCTCACTCTTTTCCGTTAAACACAACACGTATGAAATAACTTAATGATCTATTCAACCGTAAAACAGAACAAAAATACATAAGACCATTTGACACAGTTCAA